CTCCCCCCATCTGTCCTCTGGAGGCTAGTGAGAAAAGAGACACAGGGAAATAAAAGCAAAGTCCTTTGGCTCACTTAATGGCACAGTCAGTGTTTTCCCTTCACAGTAACCCAGTAAGGAAATAGCTAATTATCTGAGACAGGGCAAGTCTTCTATTTCTATCAAAAAAAAATAAAAAATCATTTAGCAGTGCATCTCTTCAGTTAGCTTATCCTTTCCTCTTTGCTCCCCCAAAACAGCCTGCAGTGGAGAGAGCACGGGGAGGCACAGCCTGTGGCAATGCCACCTCTCCTGGGGCTGTCGGGAGAGGAGTTTTGCAGAGAGAAGCCAATTAAGAGCCATTACTCAGGCATCAGCTGCTGGGAAATCAGGAGGTTCATTACCTCTCCTCTCCCTGGGGATGTAGGCACCCACTCACTCTTCCACAGCATCCAGTAGCCACAGGTGCAGGAACACACTGCTGGGGTTGAGCTGTCCCCACAGGGCAAGAGGACAAGTGGTGTCAGGAGGGGACGGAGCACTAGGTGGGCACACTTTGCTGGGCATAAGGCAGATGCTGTCCCCATGGCAAGCGGGGAGCCATGGGGCTTGCTGTGATACCACTAGAGGGGTATGGTTACTGAGGGTGACACACTGGAGGGTGTTGGCATCACCCTCCACTGATCATCTGGCCCTTTTGCTGCCAAATTCTATCCTAGCACAGCCCACTGCCCAGTGTTCCCCTCCTTGTCCTGGCGGTGTCCAGGCATAGGGACAATTGGGGAACACATCTACAAGTGAGCTGCTCCTCTCAGCTGACCTCAGTTTTGCTGTAGATAATGCCTGGGCTGGGATCTCAGAGGGAAGGAAGGGCTTTTACAGGTGAACTCCAGCTGTCCTCCAGTAGGTGTATCTTAAAGATGCAATTTAAATATTCTCACAAGTGATAATTTGGGGGCTTTGGAGAGTCAATACTAACAAGTACCAGAAGCACTCAACTTGTGAGCTCCTAGACCAGAGAGGGCCCATGTTCCCCCACTCCCAATGAGAAGGTTCTCCCCTCAGGCCAAGCTCCCCTGAGCAGAGGAGCTGGTGCTGCCCCTCCAGCCATTCCAGAGAGCAGGATGGGATGGGGCCAGTAGTGGAAGCGCCTCTCTTCTTACCCCACTCCACCCCACCCCTGCACCCCCCTTTCTGCTCGGGAGCTTTTGTGGCTGCAGGGCTGCACTCAGCTTGCTCCCATCCTCTGGAACCTTTCAGATCCTTCCCAGCAGAAATCCCCCCACTCTGCAACAATTCTGTCATTACTTCTGGAGACATGATGCTTAACTTGGTTTTAATCCTTTCAGTATTAGCTGGCTTCATTTTTAAATCAATCTTATTGCTTAATCAAAATGTCAGTCGGGATTAATCCCAGTGTCTCACAGAAGTCAGAGCGCAGACAGAACGCTGCCTTCTTGTAGCACGGAGAGCTGAGGGACAGTCCGACAGGCAAGGGGTCTTTCCCACCACACAGGCAGGCTCCCTGCCCAGACTCACGCAGTTACAAAAGTGCCAGAAAGATAGAACTTAATTCTAGATCACCAGAGTTTGGCAGGAGGTGTCCATCCTGCAGCAGCTATCCTACCTTTCCCCAAACTGTTGTTACTGAAGTGATGGAAAAGTGATGAGGAGAGGGACAAAGGAAGATGCCAGGGAAAAAGAAATTAAAATAAATGCAGTATCTGCCAAAATGCCATACTAAAAGTAGTATATCAAAGTCTAGGAACAGGCAACAAACTTTTGACAGTATTGGGCTAGAAAGATGGAAGTGTTCCTTCCTGAAGTGCTTTCAAGCTGAGTATCTTCTCCAAAGTCCCATATTTTCCAGATGCGGGCTGTGCTAAATTAGCATTACATATCACCTCGCTTATTTTCTAGAAGAGGAAAGGCAGGATACACTTAACCTGAACCTTGGCTAAACTGCTGCGATGGAGTCACACCACAGTTGTCAGGTGGGGCTAAGACAGGTATTAATTGGTTATTGATATTTTAGAAGATCTATTGAACCGGAGCGCAAAATCCTTGAAGATCCATAAAAGGACAGATCTTCCGTACTTTCACTCGCAAGTTGACACAAGAAGGAGGGGTACCTTAGCACAATTTGCTAATGAAAAAAAATTAGGAGAGTTTTGAAATATAGCAGGGAGATGCAATGGGGGGGTTGCTAGCAGGAAATACTGCAGCAGGTAGGGAGCTCTTCGGCTTGCAGTGGCCAGGAAAAGTCCTGAGCCATCGCTCCAGCATGAAAAAGGCGGATCTGATGTTTGGGCAATTGGTTCAGCAAAAATATTCATGAAGGATAATGGCAGGGTAGTGATGGGCCACAGCTGGACTCCAGCAGACATTTTCAACCACAGCATGTGAGATGAATTTTAATGGGAAGGAAGCAGAGAGGAAGAACAGGGACCTGGTAGTGGTCCTGTAGGACCTGCTGGGACAGACACAGATGGTTCCCCATCTGGGAAAAGGGCACCTCCTGGGGCACAGAAGGAAAACAACTGTCTCAAGAACTGAGTTCACTCAGCAGTACTAGTTGCATGTAGTCTGGATTTATGGAGGGAACTATGCAGGGCACTGATTGAAAAGATCCCTTTTTCTTTTTCTCTCTTTTTCTCTTTCTTCATCTTCTTTCTTTCTCTCCCCACGTAGATATTCTTGGTAATGAATTGCTGCTATGCTTGTCAGCTCAGGAGCAGTTCTGAATGGTGGCACTGACTTTTCCATCTTCCTGTTGCTGCTACATCTGCACTCTAATGATCCCAGCAACACACAGGAGCTATCTTACGAACTGCAACCCTTTTTGCCACCTTGAGATGCTTTTAAGACCAACAAACCAACTGCCTGTACAAAATCAGGAGGCAAAGCCATGCTTGAGCTAACACATGCCTGCTCAGTGCTTGGGCATAATCAACTGTTGCACTGTGCTGCACTGGCCACCTTCTGCACCTGCAAACCCCCTCCCACGAACACGAATTGGATGCATTAGTGGCAGAGCAGAGCCCTAAATTACAGGTAGGTGGCAGGCTGCTGCCCACGTGCTTTGCAGACCCCCAGCCTTTGCTTTTCAGTCACCTTTTAATTTTCGTCTTTTCTGGGGTCAGCACTTACAAGCATCTGTGTGTAAGGAAGTTTAGGTGGCACCTGAGCTAAGCCTCACTGCACACATGCAAAGAGAGAGATTTACACCCAGTGTTTAGGTGATGCCATGGTGGCAGTTACCCACGATAGCCTGCTGCCATCAAAGCATAGGGAAGGAGAAACATAAAGGCACTCCCTCCCTACCACGCCCCTCCTGAGTTCCATCCCCCCCACCAGGCACCCAGCTAAGGGCAGAAAATCCACCACACCTAAATCTTTTCACCAGGGCTTCCAAAAAACATCTTGCAAGGGGTGGAAGCCCAAGACCAGCACCCAGAAGAGATTCATCCTGCAAGTGCCCAGGTGTGGTGCACATAGCGCTCCCAGTTAAAGGAGAGTTCAGTGATGGGAAGCAGGAGAACCCTTTCCTGCACCCTGCAGAGCACTGGGTCCCACAACACAGGCATTCCCCAGGCTCTATTGATGCCCATTTGCCCACAGCAGCAGCTGAGCACCACCCATCACGCTATGCCATGTTAATGGATGCTCCAGCCCTGCTGCCAGGCACGGTCTGCCCCAGCTTCAGTGCCACCCACAGGGGACCTCTGTCAGCACCCACAGTCAGAACACACCCAACACCCTCCCTGCTGCTTCCCTTGGCTCAGACTCTTGGGGTCTTGGGTCCACCTTCAAAGCTGCTGCTGCAGCCACCGCTGCCACCGCAAGCAGCTATCTCCAGCCTCCAGCAGTTTGGAGACACAGGTAATCTTTCTGGAGTAATTAGCAGCTCACTCCCTTAGAGGAGTTCATAGATGAGTCCTCCCTGGCAGCTAATTACTCCAATTACTTCCTGACACACAGAGCCCAGGGCTCTCTGCAGCAGCACACAGCACTGCTTGGCAGCTCCCTGCTCTCCACGTGCCTCCCTTCCCAGAGCACCCCTGCCCCAGAACCCCTCCTGTGGGACCACACAGGGTATGCTGGAATGTATAGAGGGTGGTGAAATCCCACCATTATCAAGGGACAAGGAGCTAAATGGTTTAAGAGATGCTCCGGATGGTGGCTCAATGCTGCTCCTCCTGGGCTGCCACACCTCACAGCTCAAACCCAAGAACACCACAGGACAACCCTAAGCACCCCTTTCTCCTGCAGGCTACTGCAGAGCAAAACTCAGCAGCACTTCCTAGCATAGGGCCCCTCTGCTTAGGAGGCTCACAGGGAGCGAACCCAGACTATGCCAGGAGCACGACTGGGCTGCAGCAGTCAGTGAGAGGTTCCAGACATCTTGAGGAAGGAAAACAAGTTATTTGTGAGTAAGACTGGGGGGAGGAGGACAGATGGGGAACAGACACACCACAACATGTGTTACAGCATCTCAACTCTAACAAGCTCACCAGAGCTCCTAATGCCCCTGCCAAGACCTTGAGGGTAAAAAAAGACTCAGGTCTGCCAACCCAGCCTCAGGGGCTGACTTTGTAAATGCAGGCCTCAGGAAGCTCTCCCCTCACATCTGTAGGTTGCTCTGACTCCTGGCAGCTTCCTAGGAAACAAGGGCAGGTACTGCAATTGTCACCACACACCTCAGTGGTAGCAGCTGGATCCAGACCTCCTACAGTTTAGTCCTGCACAGCCGTGCTGGCAGACACCACAGGAAAACTCACATGCTAAGGGGATGAGGCTTTCTGGAGTCAGGCAGAGACCTTGCACCCCAAGATGCTCACAGGGCAGAGGTGCAAACAGCTGGTTTCAGCTTCCCAGTACAGCACAACCACTTCAGGGCAGGACCACCAACATCTCAGACATTGCCACTGCAGTGCCCATAAGACAGTTGTAGAAAGCAGACAGGGAAGGCAAAGCCTTGCCTAGAAATCACACAGCATGAGTTAGAAACCACACAGGACTAAGAGTAGAACAGTCTTTATTGCTTTGGTTTCTTACAAGTGAGACATATGCACCCAGACTTGCTGCATGGAGAAATCCACATTGCCTGCAGCACAGAGCAGGGGATGCAGGGACAGTGGGCACACAAGTTTTAGTCTCTCTGCCTTCTCCCAGGCACCAGGAAAGAGAGACCCTAGAAAAGTAAGGCAGCTGCCAGCTGAGGAAGTAAAGGTTTGTGTGAAAGGTTATTGTTACAAGACCTGAAAGGTCAGGGACAGCTTCTCCAGAGCCTTCAAAAGACACAGATTCTGAACTTAGCATTCCCCACAGACAGACTACAGTGGGGACACAGACAAGTCTTCTCCTCTATCAACCTCTGCTCCTCAGGACAATCCAAGGCAGGTATTAAGAGCCAGAAAACCAAGGTGGCATCAGCACTGACCCCAAGTGAAGCTTTTATTCCCCTTAGCTGGGAAGAACCCAGACCAAAGATGCTTCTTGCATAAAGCTGAGCACTCCCCAAGCCCTTCCTCACCCACAGCTGAGCCAGCACTACTCTGCTCACTGAGGACATGCTGGGCATCTCCACATTACTCATTCAAGCAACTGCCCAGAGCAGAGAGACCTTCATATCCTCCATCTCAAGAGGTCCAGCAGCATCCCGTGACACTGGTACAGTACTGCCTCCCTTGCTCATCCTCTGAGCACAAAAAAAAAGGGAGGACAACTTCCTGGCCCCTCTCCCTTCGGGGCAGCTCAGCGCCTTCTCCTTCCATTCTTCCAGTCTCTGGGAATAGGCGCTGTGAGGATGCTCCCATACCTGATTGAACCACACAGAAAATAAAGCCAGAGACTAGGAACAAAATAACACAAAACCAGAACAAAAGTTAGAGTGAGGCCCCAGCCCGGACACCCCACCAGAGAGCCAAAGGGCACATCAGCAGAGGAGCTGTAGCCAAGCCAGCTGGCAACTGGCACTCAGGCATCCACCAGCGTCAGCCCATCATGCAGGGCACGCTTCCACATGTAATAGGTGGAACGGGCTGTGAGTGGGAAGCGGGCACTGAACTCCTTGTAGGTTGGGAAGTTCTTCGACTCAAAGCGCTGCTGCAGGAACAGCTTTGCCTGTGCCTTGAACTGGGCAGTGGCAATCACATCCATCACAAACATGCGGCTGTTGGCTCTGTCTGACATGGCATAGCCCGAAATGGTAGTGTTGCATGGGATGGCAGGCACTGGCTTATCTATGTGCTTGGTGGCTCCCTCAACTCGGCACTGGGGCTTGAGGCCTGGCTCTACTCTCTGAGGCACCAGGGAAGCCACACGGTTCAAAGGCTGGCTGGAGCTAGTCCAGGGCAGGTGATGCTGCCCAACAGCCTGGCCACTGGCCTTCCAAAACCAGTAGGCTGTGGAGGAGAGAGATGGGTAGCGCAGGCGGTACTTGCAGAACGGCAGCTGCCATTGCTGGACCTGCCTCCTGGCCACATCTCGCAGCTGCATTCTCCAAGAGAGAGAAGGCTTGAGCTGCAGGAGACTCCTGAGCGCTGGCCGGTCTCCATTCCGTCTCTTCCTAACAGGCACGCTGTTTGGCTTCAATTGCAGGAATGGCTTTCCTGTAGGTAGAGTTTTCTGGTTATCCATTGGTGACTGGGGGTGTTTGAAGTTGGGGTTCTCCTTGATTGCTTTTCTTCGCCAGTTGTAGTATGTGGACCTGGAGATGCCAGGGAAGCTGCGTTTGAAGCACCTGTAAGGCACCAGAGTGTTCATAGAAATGCATTTCTCTAGGTAGGATTTGGCTCCCTGCATGAAGATTCCCGCTTGGATGGGATCTAGGGAAGGACTTGGGGATCTTAAGCTCCCCCGTGAATTAGCTGGCTCATTCACATCAGCCTTTTTTGGGACATCCCTGTGAAGCTCCTGCAACCTGTGAGCCTCAGGCAGAGCAGAAGCATCACCATTGACCACGCTCTGCATCTCATGCTTCCAGGCATAGTATGTGGATCGGGAGATTTCTGGAAACATTTGTCGAAAGTGCTGGAGGGGGATTATATTGCCCGCCTGAAAGCAGGACTGGAGGAAGTGTTTTGCTGCAAACCTGGCAGCCGCTTTCTGCCGGTGTTCACGAGACTGGCGCTTCCAGCGGTAGAAGGTGCTCTTGGTAATGCTGTACCGGTCACGCAGGTTAGAATAGGTCAGCTGGGGGTCACTGTTCAGCAGCTCAAGGGTCTTCATGGGCTGGACAGGAGGCTCTGGTGAAGGTGCTGTGGGTTCTAATTCCTCCAGGCCAACCACAGCCACAAAGTACTGCGCTTTGAAGACCTGCCGGGAGAGCTGCTGCCCTGACCACATGATGTGGAGTGTGGAGGTTTGCGGGCCACACTTTCTGGGCCGGATGAGCCGGTTGAAATAGGGGCGGATCTTCAAGTTGCTCATGGGATAGATAGAGTAGATGTTACACTGCAGTACTGAGGCAAGAGCATAGACATGCCACATGTTGGCAAAGGTGCCAGGGAAACAGGTAGCTTTGATATCAGCATCAAAGATGGCCTCCAGGATAGTCATGGGAAGGCTGGTCATCTCCGGGGTCTCTTCAGTGCAGAGGGAGTAGCGGGCAGCCTGCAGCATTACTTTGGAATCAATCATGCCATTCAAGTAGTACTGCTTGTGCAGCAGCATCTCCACGACGGTACGCACCTGCAGCTCCAGGCTGAGGCTGGGGTTGCCCCAGAGCAGCACGCTGGCGGCCTCAAAGAGGCGGTTTCCCTCACCTTTGCAAACCAGAGGCAGCATGTTACTTGGGGCATCCTCAGGATAGAGGCTCCTGGCTACCCGGTCAACCTCTAGCTCCTCTTGGAACTGACTCCCACAATAGCCGGGCAGGGAGAAAGATGACAGGGTCCTCTCTGCCTCCAGTGCAGCACTGGTGAGACCCTCCAGGCCAAAGCATTCAGTGGCTTCCTGTAGCTCCTGCAGCACAGACTGCACCAGCTGGTGCCGCTGGATCATCCTGAAGGATGAAGAAGAAAGAAGTCACTGGAGATGAAAACAGTGCACACTACAGACTGCCAGGGGGCTGGCCTCCAGGTCCAGCTCCTGCCCAAAGACCAGGAGGGGGGAAAAGGCAGAGGAAAGGCCACTGCTCACCCCTCCACCCACACTCCCAAGCACAAAGGAGGAAGCTTGAGTCCTCACTGGCAGACCTGGAACTGGGACATGGGCTCAGCTTGCTCTCCAGTGACCTCCTGTGGGCAGCACACATCCTCTACATGTCTCAAGTGAAGCTAAGGAGTGACTGCATCCATCGGGGTGGAAAGCCACCTCCCACCCCTGCATGCCTGGCTTTGCACCCGGCATCGTTCCTACACCCACCTCCCCTACCAGTACCTCCATCCTTTCCATTTTACCATTTTACCCTACCAGCACTCAGAGAGAAGGGTTTCTCTCAAAGGGAAAACATTTGTCACCTCTGCAGGAAGGGACCTGTGGCAGAACCACACTGCATGCTGATATGGAGGATCTTGGCTCAAACTGTTCAAGTTCAACAGAAGAAGCAGCAAGGAGCTTGTCCCCTCCCTCAGAGGGGAGCACTGCAGCTGCAATCATTGCATGCACTGTAAACTGCTGTCACAGAACCTGGGATGGGAGGAAGAGACAGAGCCAGCCAAAGCCACGGCTACTGCTGCCTGAGCTGACACTAGATGTCACTTGCTGCTCGGCAAACGCACACCACCAGCCAAAAAGAAGTCACAAAACGAGGGCTTCACTAGATGAGCTACTGAGCAGGAGGCAACCCAAAGAAGTAGACAGAGTGTGAGCACTGAGTGGGTAGTTCAGAGGCTGTATGGAACCCTCCTCCCTGTCTGAGCTGGGCCCAGTCCTGTCCTCCCTCCCTCTGCATGCCAGTTTCCATTCATGCAATACAAAGGGTCAAATCTGCCTTCTCCTCTTTGTCCAGCATTTAGACACCTCTATGACTCTGCCCCCACCATTCCCAAGGGCTTTCATGATGACTGTGCACTCTTTAGCCTATGGTCCAGCTTCATCAGTGCAGCCCTCTTCAGCATCCTTTCACCACCAGCCAGTCCAGTCTCTCCCATTTGAGCCATTTTTCTCCAAAGGACCACAACACTCAAATAAGAATCCTAATCGCCTCCATTTTCTCCTAAGGTTTATTCCCATACTGCCCCCAACATGTAGGGCATCACTTTGCAGCCTATTATAATTCACATCCCAGCCTGAGCCCACCTTCTCACACTTCACAGGTATCATGCACTCACAGTTGTGTGAGGAGATGGGCAACAGCAGGGCCAGTCAGGAAAAGCAGGAGCTCAGTAAAACATACATCCTGCCTGACCTCTCCCAATTCTCAGCCCTGCTGCAGATATGGTTACTATTGCTGTAGCATCTGCCATAGCCCATGACCAAACCACAAATGAAATGAGGTACCAAAGAATCCCACAAACACATATAGGCACTTCACCACAAGGAGCCTCCCTGCTGCTGCCGCCCCTTGCCTTTAGTCAGACCACAGGTAGTCACCAAATCAAGTCACTTCCCCTGCTCCAAACTCCTCCAAGATCTCCTGCATGTCAAAGGCCAGAACCCTCTTACAGCTGCTCCCACACCTGTGGGGCATCAGTTATCAGAGGCAAACACAGGAGAATGCACACAGCTGTGAAGCAGAGAAGATAAAGTGTCCTAAAATCATGGTCTGAGAAAGCATGTGGTTGTTACTTCAGGTCAGGTGTGTATTGGTATTCTCCTGGAAGTTCAGAGAAGTTTACAGAAATTTTGACTAAGCCTGTGGTAATATGTGCTTGAGGAGCTAAAGCAAAGGCATCCCTCAGGAGAGCTGTAGGGTTGACAAAGCCCAAGTCCTCCTTCTCTGGGGCCTGTTAAACCCTTTAGGGCCAGCCACCTCTCTCTGCAGCAGCCACCCTTTCCCCTTTCAGCAGACACAGCCTGCCACTGTCCCAACAGCAGAGCCAAGAAAGGCAAGACAGTCTTTCTTTCCCCTGGAGAGGGTGAGGAGCTGACACAGGCTAGGGAGTATCAGCAACAACCCCTGGTCTTTATATCCTAGGGGCAATTCCCACCCCCTTACAGCTTGGGGGAGAAATAGGGAGGGAGCGCTGGGGGCACAGGACTTAAGCCTTTTCTTCAGTGACAACTCCACAGCCTCAATGTCACTGTCAGCTCCTGCTGCCCAGAGCAATCCTAAGGCAAAACCCACAGCTGAAACAGTGGAGTAGGGCTTGGGTAAATCAGAAGCAGAAGCCAGACAAGCTGGGGGGCTTGGTTCATCGCCAGATCAAACCCAGGCAGCTCTCAACACAGAGGACCTGCTGCAAAGGGAACACTTCTCCCCACACACCCCCAGGGAAGCTGAACACGACAGACAAGTGCTCACTGAACTGTCTCAGCACCAAGAGGTAACCAAAGGAAGCTTTTCGCAGCAGATAAAAGAGGTTTTACCTAACCTGGCCGCTTTTGCATTGTAACAGATAAGGAAACACTTGAAGATCACGTTCCCTCACCTAAACTGATGGCATCCCGTAGTGCAAGTTCCCCCAGCCAGTCCCAAAAAACGCTCCCGCCAGCAGGAATCTTGGAGACTTCAGCTCCTGCCGCCCGGGCTGCCCGGCAGCACTGGCACCTCGCAGGAGCAGGGGTGTCCACGCATCCCAGCCCAGCTGAGTTAGGTGGCTCGCTTCCCAGCCCCAGCTGCGGGCTCAGGGCACCCCAGGGGTAAAGGCGCTCATTTGACCGCACAGCAGGAGCACAGAAGCAGCTCCAGGAGCTGTCTAGGCTTGAAACATCACCGGGGGAGTTTCAGTGGGTGAGCAGCACTGGCAGCTCGGGCAGCCAGCTCAGTCTGCCAACACCCACACGTCCACCGAAGCCCACGAACATCGATCGCCGGCAGAGGGAAAAGCCTGGGACACACCTTCACCTAGGCCGAAGCGCTGCAGCCAAGCCCAGCTTCGTCCGCCCCTCGGGCAGGAGCACTGATGGCTGGGGTGCGGCGGTGCCTGACAGCCGCCCCCAGCCCCGGGCACCCTTGAGCGCGCACCCGCGGCCGCTCTCGCCTCTCCCGAAGGCGGCGGAGGCGGCTCCGTGCGGCCGCCCCGGGACGAGGACAGCCCCGCACCCCGGGTGGGAGCACGGGCGGCCGTTCCCCTCGCCGGGAGACAAAAGGGCGCACAGCCCCCGAGTGAGGGAGAGGCCGCCGGTGCCCGGGCAGCTGCTGAGCAGAGACGCAGGACAGGACAGGACGGGACGCCCGCCTGCCGGGGGAAGGTGCTGCCACGGCGGGACAGCCCGCAGGGCCAGGGTTAGGAAGGGAAGGCGCAGAACCGCAGCCCCGACGGCGCCCGGCACAGGTCCGCACTTACCTGGCTCCGCGGGTCAAATCACGCCCCACCCGCGCCCTGGGCCGCCCCGCACCTTTAAGGGCGGCGGCAGGAAGCGGCGCGGAGTCGCGGCCGCCCCGGTGCCAGCCCCGCAGTGACCCCCGGGAGCGTGCGGCCGCGTGCGGCGCCGGGCCGGGCCGAGCCGGGCCGGGCCGCCCCTCCCCGCCGGCCCCCGCCCTCCTCCCCGCCAGGAAGCGGGCCATCCCCGCCGCCCCGGCCCAGATGAAAGCGGAGCGGGCTGGGGGTCACTTCCAAAGCTAAAGTGATAATGGCCATTGTCCCGCCGCCGCCGCGCTTAAAGGGCCCGCCGCCTCAGGCCGCCCTGCCCCGCTGCGCCCCGGCACCCTGCGCCCCACAGCATCCTCCTGCCTCATAGCCCGTCCGCGATTGCAGCCTCACGGCGGGTGGCAGAGCCCACGGGGGCCGCGGAGTGGGGGCTGGGCGCCTGCGTGGAGCACCCCTCGTGTCCCACGGGGAGCAGGCAGGTCTCGTGTGGGTGTCACTGCAGCCCCAGGGTTGGTACACTCTGTGTCTGCCCCCACTCCTTGCTTGTTCCTGAGGAGGCCGCAGTCTTTCCATCCTGCTAGCTAGAAGGTAGTTACCCTTTCCTCTCCCCTCCCTAAGTGATGCCCTTTACCCGGCAAGGCCAGGCTGGTGGGACCCCCTAAGGCAGATGAAGATCAGCTGTAACTATACTTTCAAAACTCAGTTTTGAAAGCTCTTCAAAACTTTCTCATTTGTGGGAGGCACCCAAATGACAGGAATATTTTCCCTGTCCTCGGTTCTGGGCAGCCTCCTGAACAGCCTTGCATCTGCCTGCCCATGCCTGGGCCCTCCATGGAGCTGCCTTCTTCCCCACTATCTCTGCCCCACTGCCTCCCCAGCCTAATCTCAGGGCCGAGGTCCCCCTCCTTAACTCCTGCTCTCACAATGAGTTCATCCTGTCCCTCGGGCATCACGTGAGACTGTGCAAACAGCAAGCACATCAGACACCTCACTCCAATGTCGCTAAGCTGCCAACACCAGCTCCACCCCATGGCCTCTTCACTCGTCCAGAGCCCTGGAGCTTCCTCCAGGACCTGTCTCATCCCAAGTTACACCACCCCAAAATAGGACCCTAAGGAGCCCATCTGCTCTTGGGTGTGAGGGCTGGGCACGTTTTAACAACAGAGGTCAGAGTTTGGTCAACAGGGAAGACTTGGGGTCTTTGCTATCTGGTCCTGGTTTGTCCCCTGTGTGTGTAGCTCTGGTTGCAGGCAGCAAGTAGTTTTCTCTCCCCACAATCCCCCCAAACCCAGCGAGGGGCACAAAGTAATTCCTGATGCCAGAGACCCCCTTGGGGAACCTCATCTTGACACTCATTTACGTTGCAGCATTTGGTAATGAGAGGGCATAAGGGCTCACCACATATGGGACTCGTGTGCAATTCAGGAAGAAACTAAACACAGATGTTTCAAACAGGGTAAATGTTCCCAGCTCCCTCTCCTGCTACCTTCCCTTCCACATCAGTCCAGGAGCAAGCATTGCTGCACAAAGCAAGGCATACCTTCACTGCTCATAAGCACATACCCCAGAGCATTTTCCCCACTTCTCTTGTCTCACATTTGAGCCCAGGAACGCAAGGGGATGCCAGGCAAGGAGGGTTTGACAGGAGGAATTGGTTCCCTGGAAGCTCTGAACTAGCTGCTTGACAGTCCTACCAGCCTCAGTTAGGAATCACCACCAGGTGATACTGAACTCCAGCCTTCCATGCTCACAGAGGTCACTCTCAATGGACACAGAGACGCTACAGTGCAAGGAAGAGAGAGCTAAACCGTCCTTTGATGAGCTTTTTCCCCCTCTCAAGCAATCTTTGTACCTCTAAAGCCAGCTCCACTCTCCCTATCTACCCTTCCAGTCCTGGCTCTTTTTCCTCTACCCCGCCCCTCACCCGGCAGACTGGTGTTCATATCCACAGCTGCTGAGCTTCCCTTCTCATCCTTCATCCTTTTAACTTCTTCGGTTGCAAATGCAAAGTGGTGCTCACAGGGCAGTGAGACACTGGTAAATGCCAGAGGCAGCAGGGTCAGTGATTAACATAGGAGCTGGAAAACACACAAAGAGACAGCCTGGGCAGTTCTGTTATGCAGATGACTGCACACACATGCTTCCAGATTATAAACAAGTAGTTAACATTTTTCTGCTCCTTGGAGGAGTTCGGTGGGGTACCAGAGTGCTTCCTGCTTTGCTGCAGGATGCTTCAGCATGACAGTAGATCATGGAGACTGGCTGCCAGAAGCTTTTTCTACCTGTTGTGTTTTAATCTGCCTGCTGCAGCCCATTCTCTCTCAGACAAGGCCCAGAGAAAAGGTGCAGAGATGTTCAGCTGCAGGGGGGTCTCAGGGCACCATGTTTCTAGCCTTGCTGTAAGGCAGGTTTTACTGCTCCAAGTTTGGGAATGGAGTCTTCTCCCAGGTCAAGAGCATCTGTGTTTATCTGTGTTCAGCAGATAAACTTCTTGTTGACTTGAACCTCATGAGGAAGGGTGTCTCAAGGACGTTGTGCTGTGTTCTTGTATAATAAGATAGGGCTTCCTCTGGTTCTGTCCCTGGAATGTGACAATCTTGACAGTGCCACACATGGGGACAACATTTAAACACTCAGTTATGCATCCCATCAGAAAGGTTCCCCAGTTCTGCCTCCACTGCCACCTAGGGGACCTCCAGGACTGGAGGGAGTCAGAGCACCCTACTCACTGTAGGGCTGTCCACGGGTGGACCAGAGGAGACTATTCAGATAGGATGGGACATGACTGAAACACCTGGGGCAGCCAAATGCCATTTGAGGCAGGTCAGACTGCGGGCCAGTTGCCAAAACCACCTCTGGAATTGGAATGGGTTGACTCAAACTACTCTATGATCCACTTATGATCTATACATGGGCTAAATTGACATGCCCATCCCCTTAAAGTCCTTGTTGGTGATTTTGCTTCTATTTTTCCCATCTTTCTCCCTCCAGACCACTGCAGAATCTGAATCTGAGTGCTATCATCCTTCTGAGAAGTCAGGGGAACTGGGACTGCTGAGGGACTGAGAGCATGAGGGTGCTAAGAGTCTGCTGTCTTAGCTGGGTTTCTCTCCCGTGCCTGGCATTGCTCTACAAGGAAAGCAATGAGCAGAGCTTGCAGTCTGAATTGGCAACAGAAATAGGGTTGCTACAGCTGCAATATAACCAACCAGTCACAGGAGAAAGGAATGTCAAGTGGTTCTGGTGTGATTGTACCCAATAGGGAACTGGAAAACATGGAGTGCGCATCAATTTTTGTAGTAACTTGTTCAAGGGGAATGACAGAACTCCTGTTTCAGGGTTCATATCATCTGGTACTTCTCATTCCCAGACTTGAAACCACCTCTGAACCCACTACCTCATGCCTGTGCTGGAGCCCTTAAACAGATGATCAGGGAGACTGACTGTTGGGCTCTGCAGAGAGTGAGGCACCCTTCTGTCTGTGCATGCCCTGGGACAGCTCTGGACACCATCAGACAGTGGATTTTATTCAGTTCTGCTCACATCACACCAAAAGGGAGAGTGACAAACTACAGGGAGTTTTCAGCCAAGAGCAATATTGCTGGAGTGATTAAATTATAATAGGAGACAATGTAAGGAGAAATTCTATTTGGTGATGCTGAAGTAAGAACTAGCAGGCAGGGACATGGAGTGCATCAACCTCAGTGAGCTAGAGCAGTTAACAGGAGTGACTTCAGCAACATGACTGAGGACAGAGGGGCAGCATAGAGGGCAGAAGTATGTGGCCTGAACTTTAGGACAGTTTGGTGGCAAGGCCCAGCCAGGAGTTTCATCTCCCAAGGGAAGGGGGGAACTGGCCTACACATTCGATCCCACCTTGGACAAGAGACTGAGGCCCCTAAGTCTCTCCCACACCCTGTTGCCCTCCTCTTTTGAAGTGACTAAGAGCTCAGGGTCATTCCCCTTCCTCCATCACCCCTCAGTGCTGCCTCCTTCCCATCCTTTAAAGAACAGCCAGAGACCTCAATGCTGTTCTCTCTCTGACCTAAGATCCCTTCTTGTGGAACCATGGGACCTCAGTGCTGTCTCCTGAGAGTCACCCAGAGTACTATGTCCCTCTCCTAATGGTGACTGCCTCCCAGTTCATCTTCTGGGTGATGTTCAGCACTGACCAGTCTAATGCACCATGAGTGCACAGGAGAGCTAGGTCTGCCTGTCCCTTGCCCTGGGATACCAGAGCCCCATCTCTAATACCAGGTCCCATCTCTAATTCACCTCTGCTCAGCTTGGGGCTCTTTTGCTTTCTGGCTTCTGTCCGGCTGGCCTCCCTCTTCCTTCCCACTCTGTGAGATTGGAAGGAAGGTTTAAAATTGGTGTTGGCACTGTGCACTTGCTTCACAATGCTCCATGAGGCTCCCTGGCACGTAGAAGGAAATTAAACATGAAGCACCAAGTGCAGTACCGAAGCACCAAGCAAGGACCAGGAGTCCTGGCCACATCCTGGGGTCCTGGCCGTGGGTGGGAGGGGTGGGGGAGAGCTGGGAACTGCAGGAGATTCAAAGTCAAGATCAAAGCATTTCCCTCTGAAGCCCTAACACTCTCCTTCCCTCCCACTTGCACATAAAAGCACTCTGCCCTCAGCAGGCTCTCCACTGGGGAGGGTGGATGGAGGAGGGGTCTGCTTTCCCCCTCGTTTTTCCTGTGTGACTAATAATTCTTCTCATAGGTGAAATGGTGAAAATCCTTTGCCTCTCCTCCCCCATGCCTGCTTCTTACCCAGATCCAAAGGGCCTGAAGCCGTTTCAATGGCTATGAGTTCATGGCAGACCTAGCCTGCTTTGGGGTGTTACCAGCCGATGCCAGCATGGGGGAGATGCAGCAAGAAAAGCCTTTGAAGTGTACAGTAGAAAGACACTGTTAGAGGCAAAGCACAAGGAAGGAGGATTGAAAAGAAAGCAGAGCAGTTTGGCCCACAGGAGGGGGAAAGGCTAATTAAGGCACAGAGTGTGGAGAAGGAAAAGGCAGAATCATTAAGATATCACAGCAGGAGCCCATGGTGTGGCTCCATGGA